AAAAAACACTTAATGTACCTGAAACATAAGAGGTTGGTGGCAGAGGAGAAATTGAGACTCTTGGCAGTGTGGGATTCTGGGTCATATTTGGACATGTAGCCTTTGATGATGACAGTTTGGCAGTGCCTGTTCTCCTATCAAAAGCACAGCCTGAAACACATGAAGAAACACGAGTAGACTCACAGAGAGGGCGACCATCTGTCCTTGTGCAAGGCTAATCATAGTGCTGGCAGCACAGGAAAAGTCTTGATGACAAACAAAGTAGCTGTCCATTTAAACAAGCCTCACTTAGACAAATCAATAATGCACTGCATGGTGTCATTGTCTATAACTACTACACTATAGAATACAATCTACAAACTATGAGTGTTTTTATCAGATCGAGAGGGTTTGGTAACACTTTATAATAACTGCATGCTATCAATCATTTGTTAAGCATGAATAAGAAGTTAATTACAAATTTATAAAGCATTAACAGACATTAATAAGCAGTTTATAAATACAGCTATAAATGTTTTTTTTCTTGATTCATAAGCATATCTATAATGCGTTTAATAATTGTATTTGCATACTTTGTTAATGATCAATTCATAATTTCTAAATTAACTATAGCTTTATTTACTAACCATTTATTTAGGAGTTGTCAGACATTCATAAGATCACTTAGAAAGTGTGTAGTAAATACAGTTATAAAGCATTTAGTAGTGGTCAGTTAACTATTTTGTGAGCTCATATGGTAACACTTTACAATAAGGTTCATTAGTTAACATTAGTTAATGTATTTACTAACATGCACTAACCATGAGCAATACATTAGTTACTGCATTTGTTAATCTTTGTTAATGTTAGTTCATGAAAATACAGCTGTTCATCATTTGTTCATGTTAGTTCACGGGGCATTAACTAATGTTAGCAAGATTTTAATCAAGTATTAGTAAATGTTGAAAATAACATTAACAAAGATTAACAAATGCTGTATATGTGCTATTCATTATTAGTTCATATTAACTAATGCAGTTAACTAATGTTAACTAACGAACCTTATTGTAAAGTGTTACCGCTCATATAAAGGGAGGACAATTCATGCCTTGTAAAGCATTTATAAAGGAGATTTAAAGGCGCATCAATCTTCTAAACAGTAAAATGTAACAAACACAACACAGTGATACAGAACATAGAAATATTTAAAAGCCTTTAAATCTCCTTTATAAATGCTTTACAAGGCATGAATAGTCCTCACTTTAGATGAGCTCACAAACATAGTTAACTGACCACTACTAAATGCTTTATAACTACCCAAATTAACCCTAAATTACAGCATAAAAACATGTTAATAAAGCATTTAACACACTAAGCTACCGTCACTATATGTCTGAATAATAAGATGTATGATTGTACATTTAAATAGTTTATTAATCATTTACTTACATGTTCTAACCACTGAAAACTCTTAAATAACTGTTTTATAAAAAAAATGCAATTCTTCATTTAGAAAATGATTAATTAATTGTTAATAAAGGATGAAAAAGGATTGCTTTTAAACCAAGAAGAAAGCATTTATAGCTGTATTTATAAACTGCTTATTAATGTCTATTAGTGCTTTATGAATTATGAATAAAGTTTTTGCTCATGCATTATCAGCGTGTAGTTATTATAAAGTGTTACCGAGGGTTTTATAATACAATCTACAATTGAATTCCAATTTACAAAGACAGATAACATTATTCCACCAAAACAGTGTTTGTTCTTGTCTCAGAGCCAGTGCTCGATGGATGTTCGGTCAGGCTTCTGTGGACCCTTGTGTTTAAACTGTCAAGGGAATTGAATAATTCCATAATAACTATGTACTGTAAACTAACAAACATAGCACTTTGCAGTCTTGCCAGTTTTGAGAACATATTATATACATACGTATATATGACAATATTAATAATGTAACAGGCAGATAAATGTGCAGCCTGATCATTAAATCGAAACAGGTTATATATATATATATATATATAATTCAAAAGAGTGAAAAGGCTCTCACCTTTCCCTGCTTTGCAATGGTCTGGATGAGGAAGTCAGTGCGAACATTGTCTACGTTGGGCACCAATATGGAGCCATACTCTGGTGTAGAGTCAGGTGGGTAAATATACTCTTCCACTCTGGTATTCCAGTGAACCCAATGGCCTACAAAACAAACAGTTTTCATTGTTAATACTGTGAATAGCATCTTGCAAGAACCTTTATTAAAATTCCATAATGAACTTCCAATCTGTTCTATAATTAAATAGGGTTATTAACCCTGGTTCTGACTCACAAGTGGAGTTTTCCAATTTAAGGGCTAGGGAACTTGCTGCTAATTAGGCATCTATTTGAATTGCAAAGTGTACAGTATTTTGCAACAAAACTTCTAAGGACACTTATAAACCAGAGACTTTTGGGTCTAAGCTATTTTGTTTCAAGCTTCAGCTGTGAAAAGAAGTCAACCTAGAATATACTCAGATTTGTCTTGAGGCTTATAGACTTATAGACTTACAGACTACAAATACACTATTCTCCATAAACATGCAAGTTCTCCTCTCAATAGGAAAAATGTCATAGAAATTCTATAGACTGCTGCTTGAATTGTACTGACAGAAAGAGTAATTTCCCAGCATGCTCTTGTTCAGAAGAAAAAAACTTCTTAACAGTCAGTCTCCCTAAACAGCTTTTCTTCATTTACCAATTGGAAAACCTGACAAGTTGAAAAGATTCAAACAATTATAATAAATCGAAGATGTATATGTAAACTGAACCATAGACAAAGGCAGATAAAAATGAAGCAATCTTAACACAGAATGAGGCGTGTGACTGTGTTAGATACCATCATTAGTGACGTAAAAGTCGAACATAGTGTCCTCGCTGTGGGGAGGGATGTTGGGAAGGTCTAGGCAGATGTTGTCATGGTGACGGAGCCATTGCTCCATCTTCATTCGATCATCCAGTTCCAACAGGGCTCCCACACTCCACATCAGAGAGAAGACATACAGTCGTTCCATGTGCTCACGAGACAGCTCCCCTCCCTGCTCCTGATGGGTTAAATCATTAAAAACACCATCAAAGATCTGTCAGAGCATGAAGGCCTGATAAAATTATTATTTTTGCACTCATGAAACCAGAGAAAAGATATTATGCATTATCAGATATATGCAAATAATAATAATAATCTAATCCATTATTGTGAAAATGTATATCCATGACTGACCACTAAATATGTTTTGATAACTTTTAAGAATAATATGCATGATACTTTTTGTCAAATTTCAGATTAGGTTAATCTGTTGTAAAATGGTCCATATGTACTAGATTGGATATGCATTAATAATTAAAAAAGTTGATATAATATTTAGTCTGTTTAACAGTGTCAGAAAATTAACTGCTAGAAGCTACAAAATCTGGGTTAATGAGGACGACAGCTATTGAAAACATTTGTTTTTTTAAAGGTATAGTTAAAATATTAAATAATTTGATGTTGCATGCATTCCCCATGCAAATCTACCTCTATCCGGATTATCAGCACATTCATATACAGTACACTACCATTCAAAAGTTTAGTGTGAAATTAAATATAATGTTGTGAAATATCCTCAAGTAACATTTCTTATTATTATCAGTATTGAAATAAGTTGTTACAGAGTTACAGTTGGTTTGAAACTGATCTTTTTTTCAGAATAATTTGATAAATAGGAAGTACAAAACAACAGCATTTATTTAAAACAAATCTTTTTAAGAATCTTACTGTCACTTTTGATCAATTTAATGTGTCCTTCTGGAATAAAAGTACTAATTTCTTTAGAAAGAAAGAAAGAAAGAAAGAAAGAAAGAAAGAAAGAAAGAAAGAAAGAAAGAAAGAAAGAAGAAAGAAAGAAGAAAGAAAGAAAGAAAGAAAGAAAGAAAGAAAGAAAGAAAGAAAGAAAGAAAGAAAGAAAGAAAGAAAGAAAGAAAGAAAGAAAGAAAGAAAGAAAGAAAGAAAGAAAGAAAGAAAGAAAGAAAGAAAGAAAGAAAGAAAGAAAGAACACGACAGCACCAGTGATAAGAATATACGCATGAATGTTTCTTTTCAGCTCCAGCCTGTTAATATCCTTCAACATCCAATGACACTGGATGTGTCAATTACATATTTATTTGCAGGTTGTATTGTTGGTGCTCTATACACACTGTGTATGAAAGAATTACATCAAGCCCAAAGTGCTTTTGAAGGTTATAGGTCCTTTTTTTACAGAGCTAGTGGGTGTAATGCATATTTGGCTCATGTTTAATTCTCATAGAATGATAGTGTGGTTACAATAGGACTGTATAATGTGTATCTCAAAGCTAAATGCGAGTTATAATGTGTGACATTTACTGGGGACAGTTCATCCTATAATCATATTCATGACTTTCAGATAAGGGAAAATCTGCATGGGTTGAATGTCAAGAAGAAATGTATTGAGTAAACCGGTCAGGACTTCAGTATACGTTTAATCATTCATAGATTGACTTAAGCTTATTCTGCTTATATTGCATCATATATTAATGAGCCTATACATTTTATTTTCTTCAGCTGATCAACGAGCATTCAATATTTCAGTTTAATGACGGCCGCTGTCAAGATTAATCAAATCTCACTGCATTAAATGTAGCGAAATTGTATTATTTTGCTATAGCCATTGTCAAATCACCCTTTCACTAGTACACAGTTTCAGGTGTCAGACATGTTATAGTGCTGTCAGAAATCATTGCTAATTCCTATAATGCATTTTAATAAGATTTGAAAACATCCACAATGCACCAATGAATCTCATCAAATGAAATCTTGTATGTGGAGACATTATTTTTACTATGTATATCACCACTGCCCTCTTCAGTGCACAAACGTGCTTGTTCATTGCTCTCTCAGGTAGAGGACTGCATCACATACACTATATAGGAGGAACAGCTTATGAGGGGATAGGGGAAAAATGTTATACATGCATAATGGACTGTATGTGCACTAATGCATAAAGCAGGGGTGTTCAGTTAAAGTTCCAAGAGGTCTACTCTCTGTATTTCCATAATACTACAATATTTTTGGGGAATTGTTATACATTTCCAAGTGAACAGCAGTAGTAGTGGTTGGCCTCTGCTGATTCAGCAGCCAATGAGATTGGCTGCTCAACATTTGCTCACCACCGTATCTTCGGTACTGTTGATAA